CAATCTTTGAATGCTCTCTGCTGGAAAAGTTTCAGTTACGTGAATCGAAAGCTTTTCTTTGGCTTCCTGATCTCTTGTAACCCAGTCGACTTCAGAGGCTAAATGTGTTCTCCCTCGAGCTCCGCAGTCGCCGGGGTGGTTTCCGCTGCAGTGGGCGCATCCTCCGAAAGGAACTTGGAATTGAGTTACCACAAATCGTTCGGCCCAACAAAGACTGTTCCACATGAGGTCATAGAGCGAAACTGTTTGAGCAAAGAAGCCGCAGAATTCGCATGGACGTCACCCTATCCACTAGAGTGGGGAATGGTTGGAACAGCCTACCGGAAGAAATGGCAGACGTTCTATCCGAGGAAGTTTCAAGCGGCTGATAGACAAACATTCGCTAAGAATGTTGGAATCTTGGGACTGTCGTTGCAATTGCGAAGAACTCTCGAGGAACGTCGTAATGCAACGCAACTCAAAAAACCCAGTATGATACGGAATCGATGGAGCTAACCAAGGATTTCCATCCTGCTCTCTAAAACTCAGGAAAATTAATGAACTCATTGAACCTACACGGATAAGTTTTCGCTTGTCAGCTGGTTTCTCTTGGGTGGAAAGCGAAAAGTTTCCCTTCTCCTAACAATATCCCTCCTCGGACACTGGATTCATATTCTGTCACCCGCCTCACTCCTTGTGGTTACGCTTCATTTAAATGACTTTCACTTCTCTTCAGCTCCCACGTCCTTTCTACGTCTTCCTTACTTCACGTGACCAATACAGCGGGTACTGCTTGTACAAGGAACGTGAGCATTAAGTGGTGGACCAGAGTGTGGCTGGGGTGTTTCGTTTTAGAGCCATCTATTTTCCTAGCAGCTTATCATTTCCTAGATCAACGGTCCTCTCAAGAAGGAACACACAAGGAATTTTCTTTTCGTGCCGGTCTCACATGAATCTGAATCTGAATGTGAAATCGCAGTTCTCACCGAGAAGACATATTCTGAAGGTGTGCTTGATTCTGCTCAAAGCGGAAAAGCCTTACGGGACCCTACTCCTGTTATCAAGAAGAAGAAGCAGATAAAATCTGCTATAAAGCCTTCCGGTGAAATCGATGACGCTAACAAAAGTAAGACATCGACAATGGAGCGAAAAACATACGCTGCCGTCGCTACATCATCGGAGGGGCTAAAGACAGTCCCATCACCAGTAGTGAAGCCACCTGCTCCGAGTGCCGAATCAAAGACCCGTGGGGTTTATACACCCCGTCGTGGCGATTCTTTCACGGATAGTAGCGTTATGTTCCGTAACGCGGCTGAATCTACTGCTGTCCTTCCCGCTGATCGCATATTGGACGACCTTCAATGGTTTAAAATGTGCGTAACGAAGCTTCTTCCGCCTGGTTTTCCAGGCGTTACCGTCAGGAAGCTAACTAGACTGGGGAACGTCCCAGTTAACGTACCAAACCCGCGACCGCGGCTATTTCGTGTGGTACTCTCTACCCCGGAGGAACGCAATGCTCTCATGCGGTTTGCGTTTAAGCTGAAAGGTACAAATATTAGCGTTCAGCCGGACCTTCCGCTAGCCGATAGGCTGAAGCTAAGGGAGGCCATCAAGGACCTCAAAAGCAGGCGAGCGGCCGGTGAACAAGGTCTCCGGTTAGTGGGTTTTCGGGTGGTCAGCCGGCGGTCCTTTTCCGCCCTACCAGTGCCCACTCTGGTAGCGCACGATCCAGGTCTGGATCTAACGAAAAACTTCAGATAGTGCTAAGTAATGTGCGCAGCCTAAGGAATAAGGTGTACGAGTTAGGTCTGCTTGTAGATGGGTCTCATCCCGATATACTCGCATTCACTGAAACGTGGCTGTCTCAGGACATCACGGATGGTGAAGTACATCTACCTGGCTACGCACTATTTAGATGCGATCGCTCTGCTGGCCGACAGGGAGGGGGCGTCGCTCTTTATGTGAGCTGTAAACGGGACGTTTTGAAGACTTGCTTATTTCAGTCGGCAGACAAAACTGTTGAAGCTCTATGGGCTGTTATTAGCACCTCCTCGGCTCAGGTTACAGTTGTACTTGTGTATAGAAGCCCTGGGAGCGTATCCAAAGAGGTACTTGAATTCATCCGCTCCCAGTCCTCAAATAGGTGTTTGGTGATGGGCGACTTCAACCTCCTAGAGATTTGCTGGGCAGGTCTTTCTTGCGACTCAGCGTCAGGCACATTTGGCGCTGATCTGCTTGAACTTACGCTCCAAGTATCTTTGCACCAGTTCATTGACCTCCCCACTAGGTATATGGACGCTCAAGTGCCGTCTATTTTGGACCTTGTATTCGCTAAGTCACTCGATCTCGTTGATGACATTACTTACGGACCTCCACTGGGTTCCAGTGATCATGTTTGTTTGCTCTTCAATTGTGCTCTGTCTAGACGCTACCAGAGTACGGTTGAGTCTTGCCCGAACATATGGCAAGCAGACTATCAATCAATGAGAGTCAAGGATACTGGTTTCCATTGTGAGATCTCAGACGACGATACTGTCCAGGTTGCCTGGGAAAAATATAAGTCCTACCTCACAGAGGTCTCTGCTCCCTTCATACCAGTCACAAGGAGAAAGGAGGCCCGAGCACAGCCGCCCTGGATAGATCCCACTGGCAGGCATCTGCTCACAAAGAGGTCTAGATGTTGGCGGACTTACCGAGACGCTCCGTCCACCGATACTTATGACAGGTAGCGTAAAGCTAGAAATAGGTGAAAGCAACACCTAAGGGATGCTCGGCTCAATTTTGAAAAAGGGTTAGCGGACGAAGCTTCAGAGAATCCAAAAAGATTCTTCGCTTATGTCAAAAGGCGCTGCGCTTCGAACATGTCAATTCCAGTGTTGATGCGTGATGACGGTACTCATGCGCATACGGATTATGACAAGGCCTGCGTACTCAGTGGGCAATATGCGGCAGCGTTTGTAAGGGAAACCTCTTTGACAGGCGTTGAGCTGGTTTGCAGGACCCCAGAGGGTTCAGAACCATCTGAATTTATTGTAGCGGCGATGGAAGTTCGTAGGCTGTTACAAGGGCTGAACCCTTCTAAGGCCTCTGGGCCTGATTTAATTCACCCGAAACTGTTGCATGAGTTGGCTGCGGAACTAAGTGGACCGCTCGCTATTGTGTTTCAGAAATCGCTTGACAGTTGTGCATTGCCTTCCAAGTGGAAGGAAGCTGTCATCTGTCCCATCTTTAAACATGGGGACAGGGGTCTGCCTGCAAATTACAGGCCAGTTAGTCTGACGAGTGTAGTAGTCAAACTCCTCGAGAAACTGGTGAGAGATTCATTGGAGAGTCATCTAAGTAGATTTAATCTACTTAGCAATGTACAACACGGATTCCGGAAGGGATTTTCGTGTCTGACGAATCAGTTGGTAGCTCGCGAAAATTGGGCGGATGCAGTGGATAACGGCCACGCACTGGACGTGCTTTTCGTCGACTTTTCGAAGGAATTTGACAAGGTACCCCATTTGAGGCTCGCGCAAAAGTTGTCCTCCTACGGGGTATCTGGCCGCGCCCTTCATTTGGTGCCTGCCTTCTTGGAGGGTAGAGAACAATGTGTACCGCTAGGCCGGGGTCTATCATTTAGGCAATCTGTCCTCAGCGGCGTGCCGCAGGGCTCGGTCCTTAGACCGCTGTTGTTCTCTATCTATGTGAATGACCTACCCACGGAGCTACAGGTACCATCGCTGCTATTTTTTGATGATCTGAAGCTGTGGAACATTGTTGATGTTCCTGGGGGTTCCGATGCTATTCAGCGAGCATTGGATAAGCTTTGGGACCGGTCTACTTTAAGGTTACTGCCCATAAATCAGGCAAAGTACTCCGTTCTTCGAATTGGAGGAGGTTGTCCTCCTGCGAAGTATTTGGTCGGTGGGGTCGAACTCCCCCGTGTATCTAGCCAGCTTGACCTAGGCGTCGTACACTCTTCGGCTTTACACTCCGGCGACAACTGGAAGAAGGCCGCAAGCAGAGGTTTCCGCATGTTGTGGTTAATCCGACGTTCTTTCGGAGTCTTGACGGGCGGCATTTTTACGAGGCTGTTCTCGGCTTTCGTTCGCCCTCATCTGGAATACTGCGTCCAGGCTTGTCCGCCCTGCCTCGTCCGGGACAAAATGGAGCTGGAGAGGGTTTTACGAGTGGGTACTAGGTTAGTCGAGGGATTACGGGGACGGACGTACCCCGAGCGTCTACTTAGTTTGGGAATGCATGCTATGCACTACCGAAGGCTTAGAGAAGACCTAATCCTAACCTACCGTATCTTGACTGGGAAGGTTGGTCCAGATTTATCTTGGCTATTCAGTCCCGCTAGATTGTCTGTTCTACGCGGTCATTCGTTGAAGCTGGACAAACCGCGGTCCGATCGGATTGGGGCGGGAATCCGGCTGTCACGCCGAGTTATCGACCGCTGGAACATGCTTCCGGAAAGTGTTATCAGGGAATCTACGGTTAAGGGGTTTGAGCGGCAACTTGACGCTCTTGGGTGGCAACACGAAACCTTTCCATTTTCCTGAGTAACGCATCTTCGTACTTCGATTTTCTTTTCTCTACTTTTCTTCACGTATTGGTATTATTTTCTTATTTAGGTGCACTTCCCTATTCTGTACCTTCGATTTCTCTTCCTATCCTTTGCTTATTTCACGTGACTGCCAAAGCAGGGACTGCTAGGGCAGGAAACGTGGGCATTAACTGGTTGGCCAGGGTGCGATCCGGGTGTTTCCGTTTTAGATCCATCAATAACTGAGCACTTCATCAATTCCTGACTCAACGATCCACTCAAGATGGAACACTCACGGGATTCTCCTATCGTTCCAGTCCCCATCTGAACTGAACTGAACTTGTGCTCTCTAGGTTAGCTGTACCTAGCAACTTATCCAATTTCCTTTCGTTAACTAGTGAGGTGGACGGTATCAACATCTCAATTTTACCACTTCCCATCGCCTTCTTGCCTGTATTTGCATTGTATTTCAAAAGCACAGCACAATATGCGCTGGGTACCTTTAGAGGCAAATCCTGAGGTACTTTTGAATTTTAATGATTTTGCTTTAGGTTATGAACGAGGTACATTTCGCTCACTTTTGTATGCATCGGCGCAGTATTTGCGCGATTTAGGTGTGAAGCACGGGTGCAAGTTTGTAGATGTCTACGGTCTGGATGTTGATTCTCTCAAATCTGTACCCAAGCCTGTCTTAGCAGTTCTTTTGTTGTATCCCCTCTCGCAGTCTGCTGAGGACACGTCGCTTGGCGAACCTACTGAGAGCAATAATTTAATTCTAATTAAACAGGTTGTCAGCAATGCTTGTGGCACCATAGCCTTGTTACACTGCATTGCAAACAATCAGCACCGTATTGAATTTGACGGTTAGTTTCCTTTTCGTACTCTATTGAAAACCTTCACCACTACTTCATTCCCATTACCACATCTTCCTGGCTGCCGTTTTTTTCTAGCTTCTCATTGCTTGTGTTCCATATATGCGAAACGTAATCCGGTTGTACTTGGGCTGGCCACCCTACTGATCTAATGTTTGGCTCTGCTTGCGTCAACAGTCTTGTATTTTACAAAAAGGGTTAGGCTGCTTCTAGATTGCACATTTTATTCGGTTGTTTCGTTTGTAGTAAGAAAAATATGACTGTTGTAGTCCCCTTTTCAAACCTGTATTTTTAAACTCGTGGGGACCAAAACCAACATGATGCTTCGGTTAAAACGAAGCGCTCATGTTTATTATCAATGGACTTGATGTTACTTAGTAAAGCAAACTGGCGTGATGTATCTCTTAGTGTAGGAACGAAAATGCTTTCATTTTTTGCTAGGAATTTACTACCCATATACCAATGCATTGCAGCTCTGGTTATCCCTGATTCACGCTGTCATAAATTCCCCCATTGGAAACAATGAAAAGAACGACGGACTAAACCATAATGTCGACATAATTAGGTGATTCCGTTTGAGGAGCCAACGGCCAACAACAGTAGGCCGAGTTTGAAATTCACATTCTTTGTAACTGCAAATTCTGCAGGGATCCTATGGCGCGTGGGTCGTGCGCTATATCTGATACGTGGCTAGACAGCCAACCCAAGGTGGTCGATAGAACACGAAATTAAACTAGGGTACAGATTTATTGAACGGGAGAAAAGCTAGCTAATGCTATAACTAGGGCGCCAGGAGATATTTAGCTAGAGAGGATGTAGCGTACGTCTAGTGCGTGGACGAGTGCATGTCTCGGTTCGAACCAGTGCACTTCCCGAAAGTAGAGTTCCAGGACGGATGTGGTATTTGTATTTCAAGCACGTCGACTTCCTTCCGACAAGCAAACCACCTAATTCCCTAATGCATAAGAAAACTAGTTTTAGTATATTGACTATAACTTACACAGTATTTTGGGGGATCCCCAAGTCATCACACAGTCCCCCTCCTAGAAGCGAAACTGTGGGTGACCCTTCGATGTGCGTGAGGACTGTTCCTCACGGGCTATTCTTTTGCGAGAGCAGGTGATAAGACGTGATGCAGTTGCTGGCGGAAAACCAGACAATTCTACCCTACCAGACTCTTACTTGCGTCCTTCCTAACGGTGCCAAAAACACCAAGTGAGGGGAAGTTCGTGTGTTAATTGTTCACTTCAACCTTGTCATGTTCTGTCGGATGGTGGCCGAGTGGTCTGCACGTTTGCTTTGCAACCATAAGGTCACCGGTTCAAATCCGCGTAGGGGTAGGCGTCCTCACGGTATACTCAGCCCGCGCGCGACTGGTGGTAGTCGCGCGGCAGCGAAGCGCCGTTACGGCGTATAAGCTTACACATTATTATATTATTGTCATTTTCTCCGCTTCGTACATATAAGGTAAACGGAAACAAGGGGAGGGACATTGGCGGCTAGGGCCAAAGCAATAATGGCACTTACCGGATAACGTAGGTGCCAAACCAAACGCAACACACTTTTTATGGATTTTCAAATCCTTTTCTTTTTTGCTTTCCCAGTGTTTCGCCTTTTTGAGTTTTAAAAAGTTTTTGTCGCTTTTTTGGTCTTCTCAATTGCTTTTGTCGTTTATTTTTCTGGTTTTCGCACGGGGTTGGGCAAAGAGAAAAAGCTCGAAAATAAAAGCAGACGAAAAACTAACCACAGGTTTCGACAAGGGGTCGCTCCTGGAAACTGTTTAAGCCGAGGAGGCTCCAAGTCCATCCCGATGTTTTTTTGTCCACCCGTGTAGTGATGGACTGGAGCAATTTACCAGAACCAGTCTTGAACGCACAGTTTGCAGAAAGTTTCAAACGACCGTTGGATTCTTATCTGCTGATCAGTCAAACATCGCGTTGTTTTCGCTGCTATCTTGACGGCCCCCTATGAACGGCGTATCGCAATAATCAGCGCAATCCCTGTTTTGAACGGGAAGCGAAGTAGCTGACACGGGATTCCCCTTCTACTCTCTACCACTCTAGTGAACCTCGCTATTCACTGGACTCGACTGCCGGATATAGTCGACTTGTGATGTTCAGTCGGAGGCAGTGTCAACTTAGGCGTTCCGTCGAATAGCGAAGTCGGAGGAGCGGCTGATGGATGCATTTTTCTGCTTGGAGGAAAGAGGTAAGGGTGTGTTGGTAAATGCTGATAGGGAATGTTCCTTACAGCCATTGGCTTCGGAGGTAGGTGTTTCTTTCATCTTAGGCTGCGTCGATTCCCCAGAAGATGGAGAAAGTTTTTGCCGGTCTCCAGTTCCACGTGGGCAACATTGAGACGGTCAGTCGTAATCTTTTAGCGTCCACCATGTCGGACAATAACAAATACACGGTCTTTACGCTGTACAACATTGAAAGTACCTTCGTAAATTCGCTCCAGTGGTCTTCGTAGACCGCCAAAACGGTAGAAAACGAATAGAAAATCTCGTAGGTCTTTAGTAACGTAGGACGTACGTCGTTCTCTCGCCTCCGTAAGCTCGATGCGATGCATGCACGTGGCTAGTTGCCAAACCTAGTTTGTTTTGTAACGGGGAGTTCTGGGACTCTCGGTAGAGAAGTCAACTGGAAAGCTTAAAGGTTGTCCATATACAAATCCAGCACTGGACATGTCCGGCCGTCGCAAAGAGACTGAACCTTAACGTGGTGCAACGGTTTGCGTACCTCTTGGACCCATTGAGCTATACTGCGTGGTGCCTCCGGGTCTCTTGAGAGATACTCCTACCAGGTTGGTCAATGGTTAAATATCAGGCAAACTCAGTCTCCAGGTTGGGGGTTTGAATGGGATTTCATCCATTTATGTAAAACTAAATCATTGCCACCCCGCTGCCTTGCGGACAGGCTTTTGAGCCAAAGACTGTTTGAGAACCCTAATCGTTCTGTCTAGGTCTGGGTGCCCTGCCAGTATCTCAGCCCACATACAACCATGACAATTTCTTCAAATTCTAACTACGTACTACGTCAGCCGTCGCGTAGCTTATCGAAGCTTGCCTTATCTGCTGCATACAGTCAGGCGAATAAGCGAAAATATGCTACTGCTGGTGCCTCCTTTCTTCTTTACCTGTTTCTCTTACTCCCATCTTGACCCACATTAGTAACTTTCCTTCGATAATTCCCAGCTTAATTGACAGCAACCGAAGTGCCGCTGGAGTCACAGCATCTACGGCCACCTTCCCGCAACACCCACCGAACGCCTATCGGCAACCGTCGCTTATAAGACCTCGCTGTCCAGTTTGCCTGGCGGTGTTCAACAGACTGCACTCGCACGCACGTTGGACACACTGGATATGGATCTTTGTTGTGTGTCCGAAACTATAATCTGTGACTCTAACGGGGTTGTTGAATTAACCGCGCCCTGCTTGTCATCTCGCTATTAGTTGCACGCATCCGGCGACGCCGATGCAACACTCACGCGTCAAGCTGAAGTAGGTATCATTCTCAGATGTAAGGCTGATCCCTCGTTTGAACTCTGGTGAACAGCCGTTTGTGTGCAGCCTGTTTGACGACATCAACTAAATTTGATTCACGAACGAGTACCAAACGCTGTTTGTTTGTGATTTCTGCTTCTGCTCCCACCGACTGCAGTTCTGATGCTGCCAAGAACATATTCCATCGCAAACTGAACGCTGTACTACACAGTGCTATTAGTTCAGATATCATGGTACTTGCATGGGATATGAACGCATAAGTAAAACGTCTGAGTTCTTTAGAAGCTCAACTAGGTGGTATTTATGGGCTTAACTTCGAACGGACTGACAACGGCAAGCGTCTTTTGCAACTGTGTACGGAGCATCAATTGTTTCTTACTAGCACCGCTTTTAAACACATTGGGCCTCTTCCTATAGCTGACCAACAATGGACCAAAATACATCACGTTGACATAACTTACCGGGAGCGTGGTTCCATCCTGGATTGCTGCTCCTCATGCACTACGCGTGTCGACTCTGATGATGCTTTGGTACGCTGTCGTTCCTCCATGAACTTCATCGGAGGGCGCACCAAGAGTCTCCCCCGATTGGCAAAGTAGAACTTGTTTCAGCCCTTGGTAAGACAGGCTTATCAAAATGCACTGCATACCGAATTTTTGCTGCCGTGTCGTAATGAAACTGAGCTTCAGTGGAATAGGACCTCGGCTTCCATGCAGGACGCAGGCGCATCTGCTTATGGCACTATCAATCGTCACCATACTAGTCACTGTGAATCTGTTAGAATCCAGAATAAACCTCCTGGGCTGGCTCTGAGCACAGTGTGACCAGAAGGATTATTAGACGCAAACTAAACCGGACCCTGCGCGCTGACAAGGAGGCCTGGTGGATTAGTAGGGCTCAAAAAATGGAGGAGGCGGAAGCAGTAGGGAACTATTGCAAGCTCTTCCAGTTGATCCTCACTACTGGTACCAGGAAACCAGGCGCCAGTGAGACAATCGGAGACAGCGCGGGTGCACTGGTGCACAATAAGGAGCGCCGTATGGCTCGTTGGGCGGAACACTTCATAATCAGTTTGGTTGGCTCCCTGCCTCCGGACTTCTTGCTACTCAGGTGATGCAGGACGAGCCATGACCGGTTTGTTTGGAGGCTCCATCGGAGGCCGAGGTCCGAAACGCAATCACATCCCTCAATCGTTCCTCCTGCTGGCCCGGATTCTCTCCCACCCGCACTACTTAAGGATGCATGTGAGGTCATCTGCAATGCATTGAGTTCCCTATTCGAACATATATGGAAGGAAAAGAATGTCCCGGCTAACTGGAGTGAACCGATTATAGTGACAATATGGAAGTAGGGTATTCACACAAAGGAGTATTATTTTAACTGTCATCGATTCTCGTTCATCACCTCACTGCGGAGCGAGAGTCACGGATTAGTGAAGAGCAAGCAGACTTCCGCCTAGGACGTGGCTATATTGACCACATATTCAATATT